CCGGCCGGGCGGGTTTAGCGGCGCACGCGGGGGCGGTGCGGGGCGGCCCGGCGGGGTTTGGGCGCTGCACCGCGGCAAGATGGCGGACAGGGAGGAGGCGCTGAGGGAGTTCGTGGCCGTGACCGGCGCCGAGGAGGAGCGAGCGCGGTTCTTCCTCGAGTCCGCCGGCTGGGACCTGCAGGTACCTCCGCCGCTGCTCTCTGCCCTCCCGGGCCGGCGCGGGGATCGGCGGGGCCGCGGCTCGGGAGGCCGTGGCGCTGGCGGGGGGCAGCGCTGGGCCGGAGGTCGGTGTCCCRCGGGCTCAGGCCTCGCCCCCGTCGGTCGCCGGGCTCAGCCCTTGCGGCGGGACTGTGAGCTGGCTGGCAGCGAGGCTTGTCTCGGTTCTCTCGTTCATTTTCTAGYGCGGGGTGAGGGACGGTGGGTCTGGGGTTTGCCAGGGTTGTGTAGGTTTTCCTGGAATGCTGGTGAGGTTGTCAGTGCTGTGCTGTTGGCGCTGTCAGCAAACAAACTGAGGGCGAGTCAGCCACCATTCTGACCTGCTCCTGTTCSTGATCCTCCTCAAACTGGCTATATTAAACTCTCAGTCTGCTCAAGGATGGCACAAAAGATGCTGTTTCAAAGCAGTAATTTCGACATAACCCCTGTATTAGTGCTGCAGAAGCTGGCATTCGCTGGCAGGGAGGGTGACATCCCTGCAGCAGTGAGTGTCCTGCCATGACACAGCCAAATGGCACAACCTGCTGAGGCCTGGTCCTTGCCAGGACCTGTGACAGGGGTAATGACAGGGGTAATAAGTGTCTTTAGTGTGAAGTGCCTTAAAAGTGTGACAGATGCTTCAGCTGGGTTGTTTGTATTTTTCCTGAGGAGCTTTGGTGGTTTTCCTTTCCAGATTGCACTCGCCAGTTTCTATGAGGACGGGGGTGATGAGGACATCCTGACCCTTCCCCAGCCCACACCCAGCTCTGTATCCAGAGGCAGTGGAGCAAGGTGAGGAGGGAGCTTCAGCTGTATGCTGGAAAACTGGCAAAACACAAATTCTCTAAAGCACTGATGTGTGTTAACTTTCAGAAGAAGTAGCTCTGTGTTTGGATTGGCTTCACCTCGTCTGGGTCGCTAGAAATTGTGAAAACTTRAGCATTTGTATGTCACAACCACGGGCATAATTGCACAACTAAGCCAGAGATCAGTTAGGAAAATTTGCCTCATTTCTCAGGAAAAGCTTAATTTGTCTTTTGACATTAAAGATAGTATCGGTGACTTTTCATTAAAGCAGWTCATATCTCTGCAGGAAGAATATTTTCTCATTTTGTGTGACACCTGAGCTGCCCAAGCTGAGCATTTTGCAAAACAAAAAAGTGAATTTTAACTGCCAAATCCCTTTGAAGTTGGGGAATGCTGTCCAGTTCTATAGAGGAGTYGCTGKCTGTATCTTGAMGGAAAAGTTCTTTCRAGTCAGGCACTGGTGAACAGACCCMACCTTGCAGAAGGAGCCTGTTYCAGTGTGGAATGTTCCAGTTGGGAATGTGTTTTGGGGCTGATATCCTTCTTGCTGGATTTTTGCAGTGACCATCGAGTAACCTCATTCAGAGACCTGGTGCATGCACAGGAGGAGGATGATGAAGAGGAGGAAGGACAGCGGTAAGTTTGCAGCTGAAGGCTCAAACCCTGAGTGTTTATCCCTTTCCTTTTGGGAGGACTTGGTGCTTGTGTACAGTTCTTTGGAAAAAAAAAAAAACAAGTTTATAGGGATGTAAAGTTTCCATAAAGAAACATCTGAGGTTTGACAGGGCAGGTTTGTCAGTGCAAGGCCTGTGCACAAGGATGTGCTCAGCTGTGTGAGCACCAGCTCTCAGCACTGAGAGAAAGCCTGAAATGAGATGTGGAAGCCCTGGGTTGGAAATAGAAAATAGCCCAGATCCTCATTTCTGTCYATAGGGAACAGAAATGTGGGAATAATGCAGTGATCAGTTTTATTACTGCTTGGGGTTTTGGGGTTTAATTTTGGTTGGAGTTTTGATTTTGGGGTCTTATTTTTTTTTCTAAGTGTTGCTTAAGGGTAAAGTAATAGAGTATGGAGGTGGAAATAAGAATGTAGTGTCCTTTTTCAAGGGAGCAGGGATATTAGTAGGACAGTCTCCTACAATGTCAGCTCTAAGTAGTTAAATACCCTTAAGGATGACAGGCAAGGTAAATGGAATGGAACTGATGTATCTGAAGGGGTAGCTCAGCCTGCATGAGCCATGGTCTGCAGGCAGCTGGGAGCTCACTCTGTGTRTGTTACAAGCCATCTGGAAGCTAATAAACCCAATCTTCCAGAAGTGCTTAATTGCACTTCACTGACTGTGCATCCATTGCTTCCAGTTGAGATCCATYCTTTGTGTGGCATGAATGTGTGCCTTTCCTCAGAATTACAGTTGGATGTTGCTCTGTCAGGTCAGAGATTTGCTGGAAGTCTTGTTCAGCTGGGTAATCGAGCTGGTACCGGTGTTTAAAACTGGGCTTATCCCTCTGGGCTATTTCTCTTCCCAGGTCTGAGCATTTTTATCATCTTATTGCCATTGATCCATGGGTAATTCACAGTAATTGACATAAAAAGGAAGTCTCTGCCTGCAGTACATGAAGTGGCTGCAGTGGGACACACTGGTGGTAGCCAGGATTTGTAGATCCAAGGGGTCTCCTGAGCGGCACAAGCACAAAAAGTGAGCCCTGATCCAACCTGCTGGGTCCTGCAGAGGCAGCAGTCAGGTCTGACCAGCAGCCGGGTGCTTTCTGTTAGGTTTTATGCYGGCGGCTCAGAGAGAAGTGGCCAGCAGATCGTGGGTCCTCCGAGGAAGAAGAGTCCCAACGAGCTGGTGGAGGATCTGTTCAAGGGAGCCAAGGAACACGGTGCGGTGGCGGTCGATCGGACGGCCAAGAGCGGTGGAGAGACAAGCAAGCCAAAGGTGAGGAGGGATGAGTTCTTCCCTCTGTTCCCCGTTTCAGTTAAGGCTCCACCATGCCAGTTGTTTGGTACTGAGGAATCCTGGAATTACCTCAGAAGTTAAGTCTGGACTCCTCTCTTAGTGCAGCTCCATTTTGTGGCAAGAAAAGCTGCTCTCTTGGGCCACATTTATTAACTTGCTGAAGCTGTCACTGCCTGCAGGGCAGTAGATGTCACTGATGCTGTGAAGCCCATGTTCACTCACAGGGATGGTGGGGACARGGAAGCAGCTTTGTTGGGTCTGTGTGGTTCTGTAACCCTGTTCTTGTCTCTCTCTCACAGCCTTTTGCAGGGGGAGGGTATCGCCTTGGGGCTACCCCAGAGGAGGAGTCGGCTTATGTAGCAGGAGAGAGGAGACAGAACACTTCCCAGGATGTGAGTATCTCTGCTTGGGTTTGTAGCTGTCACCCCAGGGATTTCTCTGCTCCAGCTACTGARCTTGGCAGCCCTGAGAGTTACAAAACTTGATAGAAATTCACAAGGACAGAAATATGGTAAATCCTGCTTCCTGTGGGATTTC